CATGTGCTCCTATGCCTCAGCATTTCTGTATCCCTTGGGTAAATTCCTAGCAGTGCTATTGCTGGGTCATAAGGGAGTTCTATTGTTAGTTTCCTGAGGAACCTCCACACTGTTTTCCAGAGGGGCTGTACCAGTTTACATTCCCACCAACAGTGCAGGAGGGTGCCCGTTTCTCCACATCCTCGCCAGCATCTCGAGTTCTCTGATTTGCTCATTTTAGCCACTCTGACTGGCGTGAGGTCTCACCTCTAAGTGTTTTAATATGACACTTAGTACATATGTCATATTGTCATATGTGCTTGCTACTTCTAGTTTGTATCCCCCTCATCAATACACACTGTACTGTCTTGGTGAAAGGAATGCCTTCAGGCACTCCTGCGGGTTTTCAGGAGGAGGCTGAGCAAGGGGCAGCACACAGGGTCCACATCAGAGTTCCCGTTTCTCTAACCTTCAATCTCCTCCCTCCAGACTGGGCAGCGGGAGTTGCAGCCTCACTGTCTCCTTGACTGGCCCAGAGCTTCTGTCACCTATTACAGGTGCTCAGGCTAACACGTTAAATCCTGAGGCCTGTGAGAACACCCGCATTGGCCTGATCCAACCTTAGATTTAGTCCTGCTGGCTCATGTACTTAGAATCCATTTTCATGCTTGCTGTCCAGGTTCCCGCTTGTAAAATCTGGCAAGATCCTGCAACTTCTTCATGTATGTTCTCTTTCCCAGTAGCAGGCCTTGCAGTTCATTTTCTGTATTGTGCTGGGATTTGACGCCCCTTACAGCCCTAAAGTCAGTGACCATTGGTGGTAGTGGGTCCTGAAGAAAATAGGTACTTCTTTTTAGGTAACTACCCCAGATGAAGTCAGTGCAATATTTTTTATGCAAGGAAAGCTCGTTATCTTAGAAGGTAAGAAAGGCTGTTTCTGATGTGAAGAAATGTTCAGAGATATCAGAGGCTCAAGGTTCTTAGTTTTGTGTCTCTACGGAGGTTTCCATTTCAAGTCTCAAGGTCCTGCCCCTTCCCAGCCAGCACCTTTACCTTGAGAGACTCCACGGCAATGTACTTGTACCTGGTATGTGGTTCTGCAGCCTGTATGTCCAGGCTTCAGACATGCCCCTCCTGTAGCTTCATAGAATAAGAGCTCCTTTAGGGCCACCACTGAAATGTCGATTCTCCTCGGGTACCTTGAGTGGAGAGTTCAAGTCACGAAGCTTAGTTGGGGCTAGGAATGGAGATGAGGGCGGGTGAGTGATAATCTCTTTAGCAGTCAGAAGAAGCCATCTTGCTCCACAATCTCTGAATTCACTGCGATGCCATAGCAGTCAAGGGCCTCGGCCATGACTTCCTGGTGCCTTGCCCTCCACTGGCAGCCTCATGATGTCACACCGTAGCGCACCTCAGCGGTATCCCAGTTTTCCCTAGCAAGGATGCTGTACATGCACTTACCAACCCAATTCCAGAATTCCTTCTGGAGGGGCTATTTCCTTACGCTCCTCCTTGTAACACTTACGAATCAATCGGGGAACTGGCTAGAACACACACATTAGCTGGGATTTTGAAGAGAAATGAGTGGAGAGGGATGATTTGCAGAAGTTGAAGCAGGGTTCAGAGCACCCAGAAGGATGACAAAGCACCTGGAAACTTAGAACAGTAGGAAGCTTTACCCTCTTATCCTTCAGGCCGAAGGGCTAGGGGGTCTGGAGGCTGCTAAGAACCAAAGCCAACAGAGCATCTTCCCGGTAGGAGCTCTAGTCAGACAGGTAGACGGGGAGTGGGGTCCAAATACTCAGCCTTAACACAAGAGCAGAAAGATAACTGGCAAAATTGGCCACAATCAAAATTTTCAAAACTCTGGAAATTAACAAAAGGCTTACAACAATCTGGTGTGTGTTTACTCACGAAAAGCAACTGAATCTCAGTAAGAACATAGACCCTTGCAATGTAATAACCTATCATAGCCCCATCTTGTAATTTATACCCTTGAAAATCAAGAACCTGCAATCATAGGTAAAACCAGCATTCTGGCAGCAACTGGAAAGGTCTAATGCCAGAGCATTGTCACTGTCCTTGGTGGTTCACTGACAGACCCCACTTGCCAGCCTATCTTTATCTGATCTCAGGCAGAGCTCCTCAGTGCAAAAAGCCTCTTCCCTGAGAGTGTGTATCAAAACCTGTCAGACCAATTACAGGCAACTGCTTAACTGTCACCGCTGCCTGAGGCGGTGTGGGGCCAGCCCTAGATTAACCACAAAGTTAAAAAGGGAAGTTGAGGGAGTAAGGCTTCTGTAGGGGTTTTATTTAAAAAGCACTACCGAATTCCTAGACGTCTGTATGGCCACCTGCTTGCCTGAGGATGTGAACACTCAGGAAGTCCCAGGAAGGCCCTGAGCTCGCCCCTCTGGCTGATTTTGAGGCTCTTGGCAAGCAGGGAGTGAAAGCTGAGGCCCAGTTGGCTGGCCGGCCAAGGGTTGCCGTGTTCCTGGAGCCATACACGAAGGGGGGCTCTATCTTCCCATCGGCCAAAGCGCGCTGGCTGCCAGTTGGTAAGGAAACCCAGGATTGATCCAGAAATGTAAGACCTAAGTCCACAGAGGGGCGTCCGGCTCTTGCTTAGAGGCATTTATCAGTGAAGATGGAACAGTAGCAGAGCTGCTTTTGGAAAGCCGTCAGAGTCCGGGGCAAGAAATGAATCAGAACCCACAGAGCAACAAAATGGCGGCTGGTTGCCAGAGACGTGGTGGGGAGCAAGCTGAGGAGGGGGGTGGCTCTCGGCTGCAAATGAAGACAAGGAGTTTCGGGAGATAAATATATCTTGATCTCGGCGTTAGTTAAATAACTGAGTATTTTTCAAACCTCATTCAACTGTGTCCTTAAAACAGGTGAATTTCATCGTATGTTTGTTAATAGACCTCAATTAACTAGGCTTTTCAAAAGAAGAAAAGAAAGAAAGATTCAGCTCTTCTCTCTTTCTGCCCTAAATCCTCCCCCTAAGCCCCCTGACCTTGGGCTACAGAGAAGGGCAAAGCCTGGAGTAAGGGGTGGGGAACCAGAAGGCAGTCAGCAAGGGAAGTCTTGTGGGGACAGCAATAAATTACTCTCTCCTCACTGGAGGACAGCACTTCTGGTGGGGAAAGCAGGCCCCTCATAGCCGCAGAGGTTCAGAGTGGTCAGCGGGCTCCTGACCCCGTGTGGAAAGGTGCCGAGTGGGAGTTAGGTGGGATGCCTCTGCTCTGCGGGAAGAAGACCCCCAAACTCTCTTACTCAGATTCTGAAATTACCTCTGCAAACAATCTGTGTGACCACATCTGTGGGAGAAAGTCCTTAAAATCACATTCTTACAAGTTCTTCAATACTAAGCGTTCTAGCTAAATTTGGTGCTGTTTTCTGTTATGTGATTTTTAATAACGTATTTTGAATGCTGTTCTGTATTGTTGGCCTTCATAAGCGGAATTCAGAGCATAACATGGAAAAAGCTTCCTTTCCCTTAGCTGCTAAGTTGGGGGATATCATATCATTTGAAAACTGGTAAGAAAATGAGCACACGCATACCTCACCTGATTCCAGTGCTCAGTTTTAAAAGGAAATTTACATTTCTGTTGTATGCTTTTTGGGGGCCATGCCTAATCCTTTACTGTAACACAGAAAAAGACTGCCTCTAATGGAAAGAATCCTGAGACTTTCATCTGGAACTCACAGTGCTCTCTCCCTTTCTTCCCCTTCCAGAAGGACAACAGTCAGTTTTGTGGCTTACTGCTGCTCCGCCCAGTGTCTGCAGACATTTGACCTACTGAGTTGATAAACACTCGAGAGCCTCAGGAGCGTTGCCAACTTGACACACAGTTGCCTGCGTTGCACACACTGTTTGTGTGGCAGAGGGATGGGATGGTCCAGCCCGGCGGAACGGGCCCTTCCGTCCTGCCCTGTCAAATGCGGGGGACTGCAAGAACCTTCTGGAAATGTCCCCATTGAGCTTCAGAACTGAAATGCCTTCACCCTTTCCCCCCACCCCCAGGTTGGAATAGATCCTCCCCCAAATTAAGGACTCTTTGTCTTCTGTGTTTTTCTTTTTATGCGCCTGTGTCTCAGAAGCAAACTATGTAATGTGATGCGCCTCCCCAAATCCTCAAGGCAAGTTTCAGTTCCCTGAATCAGAACTCTGATTTGATAATACAGCCCAATTAACGTTTGAACCCATACACCTTCAAGGATACTTGAAGTGTAGCTCCTCTCTTACGTTACCCAGAGAATTATTTCCCCACATATTGTCCACCCAGGGTCCAGCAAACTCCAGTGGCCTCCAGAATATTGAATATCCGGGGGGGGGGGGGGGGGGGGGGGGGGGGGGGGGGGGGGGGGGGGGGGGGGGGGGGGGGGCGTGGGGGGGGGGGGGATTGGCGGGGAGTGCCTGAATTGGCAGCGAACTTAGACTCTAGAGAAGGCCCTGCCAGGGTCGTCGCATAGGCCCTCTGGAAAGTAACAACCCTGTTTACAAGTTTTGCAACACATTAAGAGACTTCTGTGAGGGGTTTTAAACCTAAAAATGTACACTGTAAATGAAATAACTTCTTATTTAAAAAAAAAAACTAGAGAACAATGATTTTTGAAATTTTTTATTTCCTAAGAAGTTTAAAAAATTTTTTCTTAATGTTTATTTCTTATTTTTTTTTAATGTTTTTTATTTATTTCTGAGAGAGAAAGAGAGGGAGAGAGACACACAACGTGAGCAGGGGAGGGTCAGAGAGAGAGAGGGAGGCACAGAATCTGAAACAGGCTCCAGGCTCTGAGCTGGCTGTCAGCACAGAGCCCGACGTGGGGCTCGAACCCACGAACTGTGAGATCATGACCTGAGCCGAAGTCAGACGCTTAACCGACTGAGCCACCCAGATGCCCCTAATGTTTATTTATTTTTGAGAGAGACAGAGCATGAGCAGGGGAAGAACAGAGATAGAGGGAGACACAGAAACTGAAACAGGCTGCAGGCTCTGAGCTGCCAGCACAGAGCCCAACATGGGGCTTGAACTCACCAACTGAGATCTTACCCTGAGCCGAAGTTGGAACTGACTGAGCTACCCAGGCGCCCCTTTTTAATATGAGAAGAGTCTGAGGATTAATTGAGGCGTCAAAAGATATGATCCTCTTATTTCTAGATGTAAACATTTTCTGGCTGATGTGAAAGGGGGAGATAAAACACATCAAAATAGGTCCTCTGCTGTCACATGTTAGATGGGCTTATGATGAAATTTGTATTGACTTTGAAATATTTTCACTACACGTGAAAAACAGGCTTCAGCTGTTCCTGCTCCTGGTCTTCAGCAAGGTGATTCTAAGCATAATCTGGGCCCATTTGTTTCAATACCTGGTGCATTAGATGATCTTCGTTTTGACCTGAGATTTCTTCTGTACTCAACACGCTGTTGTCCAGATACCACTGAGGAAATCTAGGAAAAGCAAGTCCAAATTCAGCCTTGGACTTCGACAAAAAAGACCATACACGGCAAGTCTGAGATTATATTCTGACAGAAGAAACGCTCCTAATGGCGGAGCCACATACTTGCTCCTCTTTGAAAGGAGAGCATTTTTATGTCGCTTTGCTGCCAGATGTTCATCTGGTTTGCTGCGAAGCGATTCTTTTTTAATTTTAATTATACAGAGTCTTCTCTAACGCAGAACTAAAAGGGGAACAACCGAGAAGATTTACTTGGTAGGAAAATTATTTTCAAAAAATTTCAGACTTGTCAAAAACTTGGTTTCTGGAATTTTATTAGCTGCCCTAAATCTGTAATGCTAGGCTCTAACAGTGCTAAAAATCCTACACGGTTCCTGACGAATGTGTGATCTTTTCACAGTCACACCACCTGCTGCCCGGAAAGCAGACTATCCACGTAGAATGGTGAAGACAGAACATTCCCGTGCGTTCCAACTGCATTTCCACTGTTCTTACTTCCTCTTGTCTCTTTCATAAGTTGGCCTGTTCAGCCTTCACATTTCAAAGGCTTTTAGTATAATAGGAACTGAAGATCTGTATCAAAATATAACACTTCTTTCATCCTCTGGAATAATTGAAGCTTTAGCGTAACCCCTACATGTACATAAGTTGGCAGCTGAAAAATGTGGCATGAAACTTCACGAATGTGATTCAGGCCTAAGTGGCTGCTGCCTCTATCATGTAAGTGATGGTAAATACATTGCAACATCTTTCGATGTCACCCTCTATAATCCTGTGTCTTAAAAATGGAGCCGGGAAATGTGCTAACCTGATATTCAGGATTCTTGTTGAGATAAGGCTATGTAATACTTTTGTCTTAACTTGTTTGAAATTTGACAAAGACACTTAACAACCCCAGCCTCATCTCTGTAGCCATTAGGAACGGTGTGCATTCATTCAACAGCAGCAGGAGGCTAGGCAGACAGCCTTCTAGGTCAGTCGCAATCCCCAGGGCAGCACCTAACTTAATTGATGAGCCGTGGAACTTGCAATCCAGCCTCCCTCCCTGGTGCTTTTCATCATAAAAATTTTTGTACTGGATTCACTGATGTCATTCTTAACCCTTTGGTACTATAAAGGAATGTTGTAGACTGGAGAAAATTTGCCCATATGCTGTCGTTGAATTGAGTCCAGAGCTTTGCAGAGAAGTCTATGGTTATTATACAGTAAATGTTTTCTTAAGCAATAGTTATACTAGGTAGACAGATACTTAATGCAATTATAATAATGCAAAAAAAAAGTGACTTACTTGGAAAATATAGTCTGTTCAGGCAAGTTTACCTCAGTCATCAGATATGTGGTTAATGGTGAATGTTTAAAGCTAGGGTACCCTGTTGGGCAGAGGACTTCTTAATACCTAGTGCCAAGAGAGTCCATTTTAAGTGGCTTATCCCATCAGTGTTCTTCAAAATGCCTAATTGTTATCATACCAAAATCCTTGATTATATAATGTTGCACAGACAAAATATTGCATCTTCAGTGAATAAAATATATATTTTGGGCACTTTTAAAACTGATAAGTACACAAAAGAGTCCTGGCTGGTGGAGGAGGATCCACTCCGATCAGCAGAGAAGAATGATGACCTCTTTTGTTATCTGGCCCTTCTCTTCCAGAAAAGTGAGGTATACGTTAAATATCTTGGTCCACATACTTAACGCTGACTAAAACCATTCACATCTGGCTTGTCTGACTAGTTCAATGTACACCTCCCTTCTCTTCCACCTCTAACATAACACGTTACACTGTTTACAGTCTATGAAAAAAAAAAGCCTTCAACATCACTTGTCTTATTGAGGCTTTGCAATAGCTTTCCATAAAATATATACCTATTGAATAATCTCTGGGAACGTTCAAACCCAATTTGAAAAATTATTAATAGTGAAATTAGGTTTCTGTTTCCTGAATTGAAAAATCAGGCATTTTTATCTTTACTGCAGAAAGCTTAAACATGATGCATTACTTCAGCAGAAATCAAAACACTTTTATTCAGATGATTTATGAACATGGATTCCTAACTGGGCCAACACTAATGCAACCTGATGTAATTAAATATTGAGACGTAAATTCATTTCACAGGCTTGTAAACACTCTTTTTAGGAATCTTATTTAAAAATGTATCCTTACACAACCCTGGCCGTTTTATATGCTTTTATTATTTTTGTGGTTTCCACTGACTCCTGCTTCCCCCTAATGAGGTTCTCCTACATTTTTCCCAGGAATAGAGTGAATATCTTGCCTGAAACGGGATTTTTTTTATGAAGTGCATATTTTTGGAAATTAGCCCTGTGTCTATCTACAAATCATTCAAGTCATTCAATTGATCATCTATCTTCCTTCCTTCCCTTTTCTTTCTTTTTTATTTTTTGTATAATGAAAATATTTTTTTTAAAACTATGAGTCTGTCTACTGAAAAACTATGGCAACATTCACTTGGACAGTGGACATTTTGTAAAACTCATATTGTATCCAGTTTGGTTGTTCTTACAGCTATTTCTGTTTATGGAATAGTTGAGCTTGAATCATGTGGATGCCTAGAAATGTTGATGATGGTAGCCTCATTGTTTTAGCCAGATTCATTTTGTTAAAAATAAAAGAGCATTAAATACTTTGAGCCAGCAAAAATGATGGAGTAGGGACCTCCAAAAATTCTCCCCTCCATAAAAGCAAGAAGAAAATTGTCAAAACATGTCAGAATCAACTTTTTTTCAGAACTCTGGATATTAACCAAAGTTTTACAGCAATCCAAGGAATATTTATTCAAGAGAAATAGCTGAATCTCAGAACAGTAAGCTTTGTAACTTTCTAGTTTGCCCTGTTTTTATCCCCACCCGTCACCCCAACTTGAAAACCAACAATCCACAAGGGGCTCGTGGGTGACTCAGTCGGTTGAATGCCCACTTTGGCTCAGGTCATGATCTCTCAGTTTGTGAGTTCAAGCCCCACGACAAGCTCTGTGCTGACAGCTCAGAGCCTTGATCCTGTTTTGGATTCTGTGTCTCTTGCTCTCTCTGGCCCTCCCCCGGCTCACATTCAGTCTCACTCAAAACTAAATAAACATTAAAATTTTTTAAAAATTAAAAAAACAACAGTCTACAATCAAGGTAGAAGCACCTGTGTAGAAGCCACTGGAGGGGGCAGAATGGAGTTGGAACTCCTTTAAAGCCCTATTCTCAGAGAATTGTTATTATTTAACTTGTCTGGTGATTTCCTGGAAGATCTCATTTGCAAGACTGTCTTTATTTTGCCTGATCAAAATTTGCTGGGTGTGAAAAGCCTTTCCCACAGGGACATTAAAAAAAAAAAATCAAAGCCAGTTGTGGCTGCCTGGAGCAGTGGATAACCATTGGAGCAAACAATAGGCTCACCAAAAACTTAAAAGGAAAAGCTGAAGAATGAGATATTTGTAACAGTTTTGAAAAGTTCTGATATTCTTGGGAATTTGGATGGTAATGCTCATACATGGGGCTTTACACAAGCCAAGGATTATAAGCCTCAGGAAAGACCCAAAAACATCCTAAGTTCTCACCTTAGGTTGACTGAGGATCTGCACAAGCAG